CGCGAGCCGACAGCGCGCATTCGGTGCGTCGTCGCCGCACCGACGGCGAGTTCACGATGAGCTGCCCGCATGGCGCTAGCGAAACAACGTCGCATCGTAGGAAGGTATTGTTGCCTTATACTAGTGGTGCCAAAAAGCTTCCACCTCGCGGTCTCTCTCTCTCTCTCCTCTCGCGTCCGGCCCTAGTGCGGGTCAAGATGCGGAGCGAGGGGGACTGGGATGCCGTCTCCTCCTTTTGCGAAGCAGTCATGCTAGCTAAGGAGAAGGCGGAGTGCATGAGGCAGTGAAGCGCTGCCTCCTCACAACCCAGCGGTCGCGAAGGACACTCCGGGCGTCGGCGATCGCGGGACGATGTCCGGCCACCGTAAGCACGGGCCTGCGAGGATGGGTAGCGTGCGGCGCGTAGCGTTCCCCTTTAAACAAACTAGACATTGCCGGAATAAGAGAAACACCTTTAAAACTTTTTAGGGAACTACCTTTCCGGACGAAAGCAGAGAGTTAAAGATATCAAATACTATTAGTGTGGACAAGGAAGTTAATTACGGGTTTCTTCAGGGAAGCATACTAGGCCTAACTCTCTTCCTACAATACATAAACGACGTATGTAATGTAACATATACATCGAGTACGCAAAGATCGCCTAATGTATACAAACATTAGGTGATCAAATAACAATAACAAAAGGATTTTTTCATTTTTCATTTTCATATGTTTGGGCGGCTGCTACCACTCAACGCATGACTGGTACCGCAGCTGACGCTCAAGAAGCTTCATGACACAACTCCTTGACGCATCGCACAAGTTATCGACTTAGAGAAAATAGCTCATAAAAATAGTGCCTGGCATACCATCTATGTGGTGTTGTGGTATGGTATACATAATTATATCAGGCGTACAATGGCCCGCAATTTGAAGTCAGGAATTGTGAGAGAAATATGAATAATTTCATAAATAACATGTCCGACTCATGCTCTTTTAAATGCTCATAACTCAGTCCGGATTGAGATTTTCATATATGAATCCATAGGTAATTTCGTTTATAATGTCATTTTAGATAAAATTTTTAATAATTTGTCGACTGCCCGAGAAAAAGGAATGGCATCAATTTTAGGTAATGTTATTTGAAATAACGCCGTGCCGGAGCCGTGCCGGAGCCGCGCTGGCGCCGCGCTGGAGCCGTGCTTTATAGAAGTGCGATGACCTTAACGCTCTTTTTGAGGCGCCTAAAGTTGCTTTTGATGAGTCCGGCAGTGATTAAAGTGACTATTGTGTGTTGCTGTTTTTATAAATATACGTAGGTATTGAAGGAGCCCACGAAATTGAAGTTCTTGAGTTGTTCAACGTTTTATCAAAGTGCTCCCTTTTAAATATTATTATAGAATGTCTTGTTTCAGTAGCTGCATATTGCAAATGGTGTGTTTATATAAACTGATATGCGTTCCAATGTGTGTGGTTTTCTTTGTGTTTCTTTACTGCCTCAGTTATCTTTACGGTACGATCTACACAAAAGGTTAATAACCAGATCACCACATTATTATAAGGTGAGATGTTTTTTGATTTATTTAAGTAATATGTTTCAAATTTCCATTTGGTATTAATTTATCGAGTAGGGCTACTATAGTGCTAATTTTCATTGTGTCGCATCATGATTTGGCTTCCGGGTGGTGCAAGGTATTAAATTTGTGTTTCACAATTTCGAAAATTTACCTCGTGTTAGCACAGAGTCTGGAATTCTGTATCGGGTACAATCCTACACTTTTTGCCATTACTTATATTTTAGGTATTGCCGGTTGCAGGTAATAATGCTACTGAGTAGTATCGTACTTGACAGCCAGCATTTGGCGGCAACTCGAACGGAATTTTGTAAAATTAATATGATGTTACTTAGGTACTTTCTTACGGTTGAATTAGTAGCAGCATTCGAAGTTAGTGTCAATATAATATTGGTCCATTTGCGTCAAATTGGTAAAGTAAAAGCTTAACAAATGGGTGCCCCACGAACTCAATGGTCGCTAGCGCGACAGACACACAAATGAAGGAATCTTGAACGACATTGTTACCTGCGATGAAAAATGGATACTGTTTTGTGTTTGATAAAATGGTTCCCAGACAATGCACTAAACGAAAACTTACCTGGCCTATGCCATAAAAAAAAATTAAAGAACTGAATACGATGATGGAGAAGCTGACACATTTTTAACTAGCATTAGTCTATCGCTCATCTCTTCCTAAAACACAGACAAAGCGCGAGCTCATAATGCTCAGTAGACGGTCTCCAAGTTGACGGTCGGTCTCGACGTCGTCGGCGGATGACCACCAGACCTTGCGCCAACAGACTACTGCTTTTCTTGGCGGGAAAAAATTCATTACCCGATAGGCAGTACTACCTACAGATTCTACCTACAGTACTTAGAATGGCACACAAACCTAGAACAGCCGATACCGAGTAAAATTAAATAAGAGTAATATTAAAGCCAACCTAGCTCGTGCAAATCTAATTACCCAGGTACGATACGAAGTGGACACAGCATAAGACAAAAGGACATTAAGATAAGACTTAATAGAAAACTGAATCGATCGTGCAACGAAAAATGTTTGTTATGGTTCTGTTTTTAAAGATTATTATTATTATGACTGCACGGTTGGTGCGGTGGCTGGGCAACCGGCTGCCGTGCAACGGGTCGCGGGTTCGATTCCCGCACGGAACAACACTGTGTGATCCACAGATTGATGTTCCGGGTTTGGATGTCATTGTGTATGTGAACTTGTATGTTTGTAAACGCACCCACACGACATTCGACACAGGAGAAAATCCCAATGTGGGGCATATTTAAGAAAAAAAAACTTTAGTACTTGCAATCAGTATTGATCAACTACCAGCTCTACATTTGGATCAAATAGAAACGCGACGCGCCCTACGCTCGGGTCTGGTTCTGGTCGGCTGGCGAGTCTCCCGTGCTCGCCGTCTGCAGATCCTTACGGTGGCCGGAGATCGTCTCGCGATACCCGATGCCCGGCAGTTGCGCTTGCGACCACTCGGCCAATGAGGCATTCGCAAAACTACCGAAAGACACTATTTCATTCAGACGAAGTCGCTGGCACAGCACAATAAAAGTTAAAGTTGTGTGTCTTGTTGACGTTCTGTCACCGTGACAACTTTATTATGCAGTTTTATTGTTATTATATTATGATACAGATAGAAATAAATACATAACTCCTAAAATAAGTAAATTAATAATGTGGTAAGTGAAGTAATTCTTATTTTGCTTCGTAAAGTGATAAGTGAATTGATTATGTAAATATGTATGTTTATTGTAGTATAAGATGCGATCGAAACTTGGGCGGTAATGTAGTCTCCAGCGATGCTATATCGACTACAGATACATCGAGGTGCTAAAGTGTTTATATGGAAACGAGACAAAACCAATCCAATTGTAGAAAGCCGTAAGACAGAGACGCGATTTCTCCGAAACTGTTCACGAGCGCATTGGAGGACGTTTTGTAGATCTTGAACTGGAGCGGACTCGACATTAATATCAATGGCGTATATGTCACACACGTTTTACCGATGATATAGCCATTATGGAAAAGTGACACCATACTCAGCGATCACAATATCGTCTCCCAACAGGTGGGTTTTAAAATGAACATGGACAAGACGAGGTTCATATGTAATTCAAATGTCCATGTTGCACCTGTACCGGTTGGGGCTGCATCGTTGGGAACGATATCCTCGATGTTGTACCACTACACATATCTACCTAGGGCAAATTATTCGGCTAAGTGAACCCCAACTTCAATAAAGCGGACGTCCGAAGAATCCAACTCGAATAGATAATGTTCGGGAAATTACATGAAGTCGAAGCCGTTTAATCACTGTGGTAATCGTATGGTTCTGAGACGTGGACCCTGACTTTTGGCCTCCGAGTCGGTCAGCGCGCGATATAAAGAACTATGCTCGGGGTTATTTTGAGCAACAAAATCCGAAATATGGGAATTCGCCAAAGAACTATTGTTATCGACTTACGTATAGCTTGCAAAACATGGAGGCCGAAGAGCTATATAAGAGCAGATGGGCTAGAAAAGTGACTAAGTGGAGACCACGGACCGGAAGACGAAGCGTGGATAGACCTCCAATTAGGTGGACCGACGACATCGCTTGTTTTTGGGATGCAGGTGGCGACCTGTCGTTTAGCGTGGAGGACTAAGAGGAAGGCCTTTGTTCAGCATTGAATGTCTTCTGGCCGTTGATGATAATTAATGATCATTGTAGTTTATTAAGATATGGTTTTTGTTTGTTCGTAGTTTAAATTTTACTGCAAAAATTATAACCCATTAAAGTATATATATTATAGTTCACTTAACCGAAACAAGTAACGAGTGATGACTAAGTTAAATTCAAGGTCAGATCCATCATTTTGTATGATTGTGTCTGTGTGAGTATTGCATAATATGATCTAAGAAAATTGTGTTTTATGCGCAGGTTGGCTTCCAGTTTGTCTGTTTTATGTGCTTCTTACCTTGATTTGCTGAGCCAAATATTTACCAATATTGGTACCAAAATTCTTATTATTTAACAGTTCGCAGTTGTCATCTTTACTTTTATTAGAATAAGTTAAGTTCTTTATGTTTTTGCAGAGTAGTTTAGTGTTACCCACTGATTTCACCAATAGCTCTTTTTCATATTTATGTTTTAATTTTTTATATTTAGACTGTCACAGTAGTTGCGGTATCCAGTGTAGGTTTTTTAAAGTTTAATTAAGTAAGATTTAGTTGATGTTGTTTCTATAATTTGTTTACGGTTTCTTTTATAATGCAAAATGCCCGCTGAGATCCAGGGCTTAATTATTTATTTACTGATTGAAATTTTTCAAGAAATTGTGGTATAGTACGGTAATATGTAAAAGAAAATTCTTGTGTTGTGCAACGTTTTATTCGATTGCTTCATTGTAAAATAAAATAAAATTACAATATTTTTTGTTTTGTTTCAGTGGCTGTGTCCTTCAAAGCGTGTGTTTATTTAACCTGATATGCATTCCATTGCTTGTGGTTGCGTGCGTAGCAATATTCATCCTTGGTGTATATTTCAAGATGTCTTTATAAGAGGTATATTATAAGGTTTTAATAAATAATTTTGTTTAGAACTTGTGGCACCAACTTCTACCTTGTCAGTTGGTGGGAAACCTATCAGTATCTAATAGAACATATGACTAATAATAGGCTTAAAAACTTAACGAATAGGTAGTTTCCGTTTCCGTGGGATTTCTTACATTTTTTTTTCGAGTCTCAAACTAATGTTGTTCCAAATGTCATCCAAATTGGTTGAGTGTTTTAAAAGATGAAGAGTAGGGTTTAATATATTATCTCCTGGAAATTCCAAGGTAACGGTAAGTATGCGTTAAAATCCCACAACTCTCTTTATTTTAAACCACTCAATACATTTGCAATTCTGAACGAAAATCAGTATCTGGTACAACTATGTTTATAACCTGAAAGATACGAAGAAAAGTTTTCAATGCCGGAAACGCTATCAGAAACGGGAATTGTACTGATAAATAACCCTATGGGAATTTACCTTTAAAGCCAAAATTTTCTTCATGCTAACACAGGGTGTGGAATGGGGCCTATCGTATTTTTGCTCACCATAAGCGCTAGTGTGAACCTTTCGTGCTTCGTCCAATTACCTAGTGTCACACCGTTGGAAGTTCAATATTTGATAGCTGCTGTAATTGGACGATGAAACCCCTTCCTAGAAGTTGCGTCATCTGATGACCAAAAAACATTAGCCCCCATTGTGTACCAGGTACAGTTCTGGTCTCTATACCATTACGTATGTATTAAGTTACGACTCCTGCCTCATACTTGGCAGCCAACATTTGCCGGCTACTAGCACGAAATTTTGTAAAATTGAGATAGATACTTTAACCCACAGATCGTTGTTACAGAGATCGATGCTCATTCCAAACAAAAAAGAACTTTATACTTAGTATTCCAATTACTATGTTATCTTTACCTTGAAGATGAAATGTGGAACACTTTAAATAAATAGAACTGCTGCGATACAACTCGTTCATCTGAGAAATGCGAAAGGTACATATTATTGGGGAATATTTAACTGACTAGGTGGTAAATGTGAAAATAATTTTTATAAAAGATATAGGTACACTTGGTTCCAACGCCAAACTACCAATGAAAGTATTCATAAATATTATTATTTTTTATACATTTGATGGGCGGACGTTTGGCCACTATCTCGCCTGGAGGTAAGCGATAATGCGGTCTACGATGGAGCACGTCGTATATTTGTACAAAACAAAAAACTACCATATAGCTCGATAGGTGTTGGGATCGAGTTATATCACGATATGGTTTCGTTACCTGCAAAATGTTGTTGTGGGTGTTTGGATTGACAGAAATAATATTGTCTCGCTCTGAGGGACTGCTCCTACTTACCACAAACCACGATACTATCAGTTATGTTCAAAATCTCTTTAGTGGTTCGATATGACAGAATAAAAGTTAAAGTTGTCTATCATGTTGATGTTCTGTCACTGTGACAACTTTATTAGTGTTTGTTGATAAAAATAATTCCACTATGTGGTAAGTGAAGTATTTACAAATAATACACAAGTACAATACAAAGTTATCGCAAAAATGTATGTGGAAGTACATTGTACTTTAATATAATATGGTTTTTGTTTACCGTTTGAATTGTTTTGTATACCTCTATTATCCTAAAATTATCTTGGATGGTCTTTTTAATTTTTTACAACAGTGTAAAAAATTAAAAAGACCATTGTAGTGAGTACGTAGTTACGTGCATAGTCACAGAAGATAATTCTTGGGAACTGCAACGTGTATCTGATAACCCATTGTTTGTATATTATTATTTGTTTCAGTTGCTTCCTAGTTAGATGCATGTGTATTTGTGTCACGATAGGCATTCCACTGACTCTGTTTTTGATCGTGTTCATTTACATTATCTATTTGCTTCACGATTGGAAATGAGGAGTACTATATAAGAGGAAAAATATCTTATTACAATGAATAACTTTTCAACCCTCGCGAGTCTATGCACGCTGCCCTGTGTAAGCGTCTTGTACTGACTTGAAACTAGTTGAGCTTTTCCCAGTAATTTTACGTAAGTATACCATTGTTTTCTATTCATAATTTTCAAACAGTGTCTTATGCTATTATGGTTTTGTGAACTTCAATATATGCGAGTCACGATAACTTCATACTTGAACACCGACATTTGTCAGCCACGAGACCACTCCATGGAATTTGGTTAAAAAAAAAAACTTAGTTACAGTATTTTACTATTTATTGGTCATTTTTGTTTCAGGGATGTCTGCTCATTCTTGACAAATAACGTATTTAGATGCGTTGAATCTAATGACCTAACTGGTATTATAATACGAAATAGTAAATGTGGATTGTGGACTTTAAAAGATACAGTGTAGTAAAAGCATTATATACATATCGTATGAACCTTGTTTTAATAATAACGACCACGGCAAATAAATAATGAATTGTATTTATATGTATAATCTTATCGCTAAGTCGAATTTGGTTTTTAGATAATTAATAATAGGTGTTATAATATAATAGATATTAATATTAAACTTGCTTTCTTGTTTTTTTTGTACTGTAAAATAATCGCATTACTTTTTTATAATAACTATCGTAAGACATACTAAATTACCTCAAACTCGCAGGTCATTCACGTGAAAATATACTGAGAAAAACTCTACTCGTTTCGAACCACAGAGAGGTTCTTCCTTATGAGCAGAGTACGCGGTTGCGGCGATGTCGCGCAACCTACTGATGAGCAGAAAGAAGAACCCTTCTGTAGTACGAAACCAGTAGAGCTTTTCTCAGAATTTTCACGTGAGTAACCCGCGATTTTTAGCATTGCGTTTTATTATTTAAATAGTTTTAGGTTTTACATGACAAAGCATTTGAAAGAGACTGATAAAAGAAAATTGTGATTTGATTAACCTGAACTTTTTGTATTTGCCTGCGAAGCGTGAAAATTATGGCAAATTGCATTGTCTTATGAGGCACATAGTCCAACAATGAACTTTGACGGGTTGCTGGTGATGACCTGGACTTGTCATTATGTTATGTTGTAAGTTGCAATAGTACGGTGTGTATGTGTGTGTATTCCAAAGCACATTCTAGTCTTCGTCTTATATTATTATTGAGAATTACAAATATTCATCAAATACGTACCTAACCAATCTATATCACACACACTTGTAACGCCTCTGGTGTACATGGGCGATGCCGATTGATTACCATCAGGTGATCCGTCTGCTCGTTTACCGGCTTATGCCATAAAAAAATCTACTTACAAACATTTTAAATGATTGATTTAGAACCTGAATGCCGTCCCAGCTAAGTCAACTGGATTTTGAAGTAAATAGCTCAGTAAACTAATAGCCAGTACGTAAATCTTGATAAAAGTCATATAAAACAGCCATTTTGTGTTGTCACGTATACATCATGGCATTCCATATAAAGTGATGTAATGTAGATGCCTCAGTATTCGCTATAAAATGTCGAAGGACGCAGCTCCAAACAGCCTAATAAAATAGGCGGAGTGTATTATTTTGAGTAATCGATACTCGATGCACGAACACTATGTTACGTGTCGTTCATCTATAATAATTGTTATCATCGTTGTGTGGTGCCCGCTTCTAAGGCATGAGATTATTTTCACTGTTCGATACATGGTGACAGAATTGTAAGGAAACCTAGACTTATAATTTGTAAGTTATAGGTAAACGTTTGAAATCACAGAACCACCTTGTCCGCGTGACTTGCGTGGTGGTTATTATTCATTTCCTTTCCGAGTGAGAAGAGGCCTGTGCTCAGCAGTGGGTTTTGGTCGTGGTGGCCCGGAGATTCAAGACAACCCCTTTTCATGCAAAGTGCGTATTTGAAATCTACCAACGGCAAGTACCAATGTGATTTTACATAACATCATAACATCACGCCTTTTATCCCCGAAGGGGTAGGCAGAGGTGCACAAAGAAGTAACACCCACTTTTCACTATTTATGTTATGAGTCCCATGTAATAGGGGGTGAGCCTATTACCATATACCGGGCACATTTCCAGACTCCGTGCTGCTACTGATATTTTTAAAAACCCAGTAATATTTTGCCCGACCCGGAAATCGAACCCGAGACCCCTTGCCCGGTAGTCGCACTTGCGACCGCTCGGCCGACGAGGCAGGCAGATTTTACCTTGTTATATATGTAATTAGTAAATTACTTCATAAAATTATTTAGACACATTTCGAAAACATCTTGAGGAAACCGGGCTTATAGTTTCTGATTATTTTTCCGTATTTCGTATCCGTATATTATTATATTCCGCATTGAGCGGGTTGACGATTTCGACAAGCGTGGCGATTAACGCTCAAATCTTCTCCGTGTGAGAAGAGGCCTTTGGTCAGCAGTGGCCATACATATTTTGATGTGATGTGTTTTTGTGATTGTGTTTTTATAATTTTAATTTAAATCTAAGGTTTTATTTTATTAAAGTGCATATTCATTTTACTGTTCCGTGTATCTTAGTGAAGGTAGTCTTTATAATTATTACCCCACCAAATATTAACGTTTTATTTAACTTCCTCAAACATTTCCATTTGGTTAATTGTTAATTAACCAATCGGTCAGGACGTTCGCGAGGTCAATGAATATTAAAAGTATTTGCAATAGAATAAACAATTTATCTAAATTTTGAAATAAATACGAAGTGACTAAAACAATTTGGACAAAAACATACAACAAATCAATTAAACTTCTTCCTGTATTTAAATATTTTGAATTTGGAGATTAAGACTTTTAAATTGTCTGAAGTAATTACGAAATCCGAAATTAGCGAAGTTCGTTCTCAAGCGAAGTTTAAGAAAATCTCCCAGAAAATTAAATTGGCAATTTTCTTACAATTTTTTAATCACTTTAAGAGAATTTAATTTTAACTGGTTCCCTGACATTTCAGTTAATTTTATCCACTGCTTTGGTCTTCTTGGTTTAGTAAATTTATCACCTGACATAAAGATTCGATGTTCAGTTTGGAAATTAATGTTATTTATAACCGTCTTCAAAAACGAAAGAGGTTCTCAGTTTAAATTGTTAGTATGTATTTTTGTCCACGATTATCCTAGGATTCGCTGAACCTAGTTTGATGCAGTTTTCAGAGAAGTATTGGACTACAGAGCAGATTTAAGTGTACCTATTAATCAACTTTACTACTAACTGACTTCAAAAAAAGAAGTGTGGGAGAGCCATGCTTCGGCACGAATGGGTCGGCTCGACCGGAGTGATACCACGGCCTCACAGAAAACCGACGTGCAGCAACGCTTGCGTCGTGTTTAGTCATGTGATTGAGGTTACCGTAGGCCCAATTACCCTCCCCTTTCAGAATCTCCCCAATCCCTGAATCCCCAACGATCCTCATACTCTTAATCCCCAAAAAGCTCCAAATCCCCAAACCACAAACGCACTTCTGACGCCTCTGTTCCAGTTGTTCATGGGCGACGCCGATTGCTTACCATCAGGTCATCCGTCAGCTCGATTATTGGCTTATGCCATAAAAAAAGTCGTTATTTAATCTGTATGTATGTATGTATATGTGTTTGTGCTCAATTATTTCGTAATTTTCTGAACCGATTTTCAGAAGTGTATGTGACACATAGGAGAAGGCTTTAGCGGCCAAAATAAAAACTGCGTTTAAAAAACCGACTTGAAAAAACCAAAAACTAATAACAAACACAAAGTAAACAATAACCGACTTCAAAAAAAGTTGTTTTGAAGTCGTTTTTTATACGTAGTTTATGATTTATGTTTAAATTTAATATTAGTTGTGTGTAGGTATTTGTATTCTTAGCACTTTACAATTGTACTATAGGTACTTAAATTACTTAAATATCGTGAACCAAATACAAAGCAACATGCTCTCTTTTCTTGAAAGTTAGCGCTGATTGGTGCAGTGGTGTAGCGATTTCCAACCGTCCTCAAACTTCTAAACCTAGATTATGGCAATAGCAATCTCTTTCAAAAAGAAGTCCCTATAGTCCAGCAGTGTCGCGGAGAACCTAACGGGTAACCGGGGCTCCGGCTCGACGTGCAGGAGAAGGAACGGGGTGGTTTTTAGTCAGTAAGAGTCTGACACTCCCTCCCACCTCACCCAGGCGGGAGCAGTCATTTGATGATTTTCCCCCCTTAAAAAAAAATAGTCTAGCAGTGAACTGTCATGAGATTTGGTGGTAAATGAGGAGATCGAATTCAAAATCAAACGAATGAAACCGCTGGCAAAGCTATACTGCATACTAACTATTCCACGTCTGGTTTGCCAACTTTTGATTTTTGGGTAAGTAAACAGACATCAAAGACGAAATTAATTGGCAACGTACCAGTTAATTAATTTGTATTTAATTATGTAACGACTTTAATTAAGAACGAGTTGAGTTCCTTGTACTAAAAAGGCGGTGAGCAGTGTTAAATAATATTGTATAGTATGTTATGTTGCATGGAAGTTGAGTACCTACGTTCGTCGCAAATTAAAATTGTATTTCTTAAAGAGATCCTGCGTTTACAGTAAACAGAACGCTCCCGAACAACAGGTGATGGTAAAAGTTCCAGTTCTCAAGTTTTATTTTCATAAAAAGTAAGGAATTAAACGTTTATTCCATATAATAATACGGAGTCTGGAATTGTGCCCGGTATATGGCAATAGGCTCACCCCCTATTACATGAGACTCATAACATAAATAGTGAAAAGTGGGTGTTACATTGTAAAGTGACATAATGTGCACGTCAGCCTACCCCTTCGGGGATAAAAGGCGTGATGTTATGTTATCTATATCTATACTAATATTATAAAGAGGAAAGATTTGTACCTATTTTTGTATGTTTGTAATTAATAGACTCAAAAAGTACTGGGCCGATTTAAAAAATTCTTTCACCAATAGAATGCTACATTCTTTCAATTTGACATAGGCTACATTTCATTTTGAAAAAAATAGGGATCCTTGGTTGTT